GCGCATTGGGTGATCTGTTGTGTCCACCGCAGGGAACTGAACCTGCGTTTTAGTGTTGTAAGTCCGTAAACTTACCGCTGTCCCATCGGAGAGGAAAGGCAGCTAATTACAGCAAACATAAAAACTCTTTTCTGATATAATAGCAGGATTTGCCGTCACTCATGTAGCACACACAGCCTTTATGCACGAAGCACGATTTTGTGGAAATGAACCGCGAACCATGAACCCTCGGACTCACAGTCGAGCACGTTTCACTAGACCACGCCCGATCTGGCAAGATCAAGAATCCTTGAATATATTCTTCTCAAGATTAGCTAGGATTATTTTCATGCGCATAGCTAAAGACAGATGGCTATTAATTAACTGATATTTGTAATTTTATTTCTTTTCAAACACAGATTCTACTCTATTTTTCCCGGCGTGTCTTTAAGTAACTCGACGTGAAAGTGGATTCTCTCTGAAAATGGAAAATGCATAGCCAATCTTTTATATTGTTCAGCAAATAACAAATCACAAAATAAAAGTTATCATTAGTCGCAAATCCTCTAAATTTAAATAATTCTGGCATGTACTTCGTCTATAATGATACAATGTTTGAAAGCTGGAACGAAAAACGAAACGAAATGCAAATATAAGACACGTGGCATTAGAACGTCCCATTTCATAAAAGTCCTTTCAATGGAGGAGTTTGTAAAGACACGTGGCATATAGGATCTCATTCCACAAAACTCCTTTCTGATGAGTGTTAACATGAATGAATAACCAACAGTTCACTCATCACTTGAAGATAAGGCCTGCTGCTTTTTATAACACTGATAGGTTTGGAAAAAATCGTATTGAGTATTTGCTACTATTGAGAAACAATCACCTTTAGTACTTTTTGTCATATATATTAACTTGATTACGCACAAATGGGTGCATGCCGTCTGGAGGGCAACATTACATCATTGAATTAGACAAATTGTAGAAAATAAATTTGTAGTCGTTTTCCCAAACACTTAAAAATAAACAAAATATTTCAATGTTTAAACTCATTGAATATAAAAATATATATATATTTATTTAAGCTTATGTACAAATATTGCAATTTTAAGTTTGATTTCAACGCGCTCCACACAAAAAACATTAGTGTTTATGAATTTCCTGAATTATGTCTGAGCAAAATATGGCACTTGTTGTCTTCTAAGAGGAAAATTATTACAGTTTGGAACAAAATGGCGATAATTTGACCTTGTAACTTGAATACAAGCGAAGTTTTATCGATTTCTAACCAATCACTGTTTCTCAACCTTGGTTGTCATGGTATGATATAATTGCTTATATCTCATTTTCGAGAAGCCATAGGCTAGTGTTTTAAGCCCGTTATGAAAGATCTTTTTTCTGTTCTTTTCAACTGTGTAAGCCAGTATGGCTTCCATTACAGTGGAGATTGTCATAGAGATCAAAACAAAGTAATAGAAGTTTAGCTTGGTGTTTTGTTGTTAGAAGAAAGGATGGGTGAGAACACAGTTCCGTTACAGTCCTGATCTTTTTTAAAAGCTTGATTTATCATTTTATACATTATTTTGATAATGATGATAGGGAAAGAAATGCTTTTCGTGGAACAAGGTGAGGTATGCGTAGTTAAGTCATTTTACACTCTACTGTGCCAAGTTTCGTTTTGCTGTTTGAATGGTCAGAGAAAATCACCAAAACATTTTTTTTTAAAAAGTCGGCTTTTGGGAGGGTAAAAGTTTTATTCATATTGTAGGCTAGTGATCGTAGACACAGTGAAACTTTTCGCGTTGTTTTTCAAATCGAAACAAAGATAAAATTTACATATTTATGAAATAAGAAATTTAAAGAAAAGTTTTAAGAAGATATAGAAGGGTACAAAAAATTAGTAATTACAATATACACTGAGTGGTCACAAGTAAATAGACACCTAATTTTTCGTCATTTAACTGACTTA